AAAAACAACAATTAGAAATCCAAAAGATAAACAACAAGATTTCAGAAATGAACAGTGTCATAGAAGGGCTGAGGAACAGGTTTGAAACAATGGAAGACAGGATTAAGAAAATTGAAGACAAACACTTAGATACAACTTTGAGGAAAAATCAGAAAAAAAGAACAACGAAAAATGAAGAAACCCTGCGAAGTATGTGGGATACAATCAAAAGCAAAAATTTTTGAGTGATAAGAGTTTCAGAGGAGGAGGAGAAAACAGAAAACACAGAGAGGACCATTGAAGAATTGCTGACAGAAAACTTCCCTAATATCATGAAAGATGAAAAACTGACCATCCAAGAAGATCAATAAACCCCGTATAGGATAGACCCCAAAAGAAAATCACCAAGGCGTATCATAAGCACGCTTGCTAAAACCAAAGACAAAGAAAGAATCCTGAGAGCAGCTCGAGAAAAACAAAAAGTCACATACGGAAGGGAACCAATAAGACTAAGCTCTGATTACTCAGCAGAAACCATGCAGGTACGAAGGCAATGGGATGACATACGCAAAACCTTGAATGAAAAAAAATTGCCAGCCAAGAATAATATATCCTGCAAAACTCTCATTCAAATATGATGGTGAAATTAGAATATTTCCAGATAAACAGAAATTAAGGGAATACGTATAAACCAAACCAAACTTACAAGAATTATTAAAGGGAGCCCTTCAGTTTCTGAAAAAACAGCATCAGACAACAGCCTGAATCTAGGATGCAAGATTGCACCGGCCAGATATCAACCAAGGAAATGAACTCTCAAGGACTATTCATAACCAAAAGAGTTACAACAGGGAACCAGAGAGGTTAAGCTGCAAATGACAACAATGTCAGAACAATAAAATAGGGGATAAATGGTGTAGGTATGGAACTTTTTAATGGAGAGGAAGGCAAGGTGATATCAAGTAATAATAGACTGGTTCAAACTTAGGAAGATAAGGGTAAATTTCAAGGTAACCACAAAGAAAGTTAACAAACCTACTCATCAACATAAAAAAGAAAAACATAAAATCTCAGTAAAAACAAAATCTACGAAAACATAAGAAATGAAAAAAAAATCCAAAAACAAAAGGAATTCAACACAGGATAGTAAGAGGAACAAATCATCAGTACCACAAAAAAAGCAATACAAAACGACAGAAATAAACCCACACCTATCAATAATTACACTGAATGTAAGTGGCCTAAATGCAGCCATAAAGAGACAGAGAGTGACAGAATTGATTAAAAAAACAGGATCCATCAATATGCTGTCTACAAGAGACACAACTTAGAAACAAAGACATAAATCTATTAAAATCAAAGGATAGAAAAAACATATCAGGCAAACAGCCACCAAAAAAGAGCAGGAGTGGCAGTACTAATCTCAGATAAAATAGACTTTAAAACAAAATCCATCATAAAAGACAAATAATGGCACTATATCATGATTAAAGGAACAATCCATCATGAAGACATAACCATAATAAATATCTACGCACCCAATGACAGGGCTCCAAAATACATAAAACAACTTTAACAGCACTGAAAAGAGAAATGGACATATCCACTGTAATAGTAGGAGACTTCAACACACCACTGTTGGTAAAGGACAGAGCATCTAGAAAGAAATCCAACAAAGATACAGAAGATCTAAAGGCCACAATCAGCCAACTTGAACTCACAGACATACATAGAACACTCCACCCAACAGCTGCAAAGTACACATTCTTTTCCAATGCACATGTAACATTCTCCAGAATAGACCACATCTTAGGCCCAGAGCAACCCTCAACAAAATCCAAAACACTGAGATAAAACAAAGTAACTTCTCTAATCAGAACACCATCAAAGTAGAAATTAACAACAGGAAGAGCAAGGAAAAAAAATCAATTACATGGAAACTAAATAACACTCTGCTTAAAAACCACTGGGTAATAGAAAAAAATCAAAGATGGAACCAAAAAATTCCTAGAATCAAATGAGAATGAAAACACATCATACCAAAACCTTTGGGATGCAGGAAAGGCAGTGATCAGAGGACAATTTATAGCAATAGATGCACACAGCAAAAAACAAGAAAGGGACAAAATCAAAACATTAGCTAGACAACTTGGACAAATAGAGAACAGTAAAAGAAGTCTACATCCACCAGAAGAAAAGAAATAATAAAGATTAGAGCAGAAATAAATGAAATAGAGAAGAGAAAAACAATAGAAAGAATCAACAAAACCAAAAGTTGGTTCTTTGAAAAAGTCAACAAAATCAAAAACCACTAGCCAAATTGACAAAAGAAAAACAGGAGAGGGCACAAATAACCCAAATAAGAAATGAAATGGGGGACATTACAACAGATCCAACTGAAATAAAAAGGATCATAACAGAGTATTATGAAAAACTATACTCCAACAATTTGAAAATCTAGATGAAATGGACATATTTCTAGAAACACACTACCTACCCAAAGTATCACAAATTGATGTTGAATATCTGAACAGACTCATACCAAGAGAAGAGACTGAAAAGGTAATTTTAAAAAACTCCCAACAAAAAAAAGCCCTGGCCCAGATGGCTTCACTGGAGAATTATACCAAATATGTAAAGAAGAGCTTACACCAGTACTACTCAAATTATTTCAGAACATAGAAAATGAAGGGATACTTCCAAATTCATTCTATGAAGCCAGCATAACCCTGATATCAAAACCAGGCAAAGACACCACAAAAAAATAAAATTACAGACCACTATCTCTCATGAACATAGATGCAAAAATTCTC